ACTATTGAAGAATTCCGATAAATCAATTGTTATGGTGGAACACCCTCTAAATTATTCTGAATTTAATTACTCTGCAACTGGCATATTTGATACATGAACAGATACATAGGAATTTTCGACTTCAAATTCATATTTTATTTCTCCAACTGAAATAATTGTTAATTCCGACTTCAAACGAAACCATAAAATCGGAATTAAAATAAATTCCCTCGGAATTTGATACACAGTAGAAAAACAGATCTCTCCAATCAAGACAAAATACAGCGTTGAGAAGATTATGAAATGAATAGCGCTTCAGATTGATGATGTATGGTCTCAGAACGGGATAATTCGAAATATTCATAGAAGAATCTGATATTCTCGAAAAACAGTCTCGTTCGAAGCATGTTGGTATCTTCATTTATGGGAAAATAGAGATATCCCAACTACAACAATACTTCCATTGGATTTCAAGATCTTACAAATCGATGTGCATATTTATCTACCTATACCAGAGAAGAACATGTCTTCTATATTGGGAGATACATGCAGTATTTTATAGAATGAAAGCAGGATTTCAAATACGAGAAAATATTTTGAAACATAGTTTTTATGGAACCTTATAGACAATCATTTTGCAATTTTGAAGGTATTAGTGAAATTGCAAGATATTAGCTAGATGAATCTGCTTCAAAATTACTTGAAAATTATGAAGCTGATTTGTGGTTTGTCATTTTATTTTGACAGTTTGAACTATCATTCGAGCAAATTATCTAATCATGAATTGTTTAGATTTACAGGATATTTTGTTCACCACTGATCTAATTTTGATTCAAATATTAGGAAATCGGTTCCAATTTTTGTTTATGTTCCTCCATTTTCATTGCTGCGCAAAATTCATATTACAAATTACTATATCCGGAAGGTTTCGCTAACAAATCAAGTTGATTCAATAAACAACATTGGTAACGTATTCTATTCAGAATTCTATGAGCCTTCGCTGATCGGTTATAGCAGGGTGAACATAGTTACATACACAATATTATTTGTTCTACAACAAACTGTCAAAAAAGTGGACAACCTCATTCAATTTATGTGAAGCTATTAATCCGTTTCTCTTCACGCCAAGTCATGAAAGACTCGTGTTCTTTCGGATATAGCTCCTTAGATTTATCTGGCAGCAAATTAAGTATCTACTGTTATTTTCGCACCTTGGGCTAATCTCAATGAATCGCTCCAGTATCACTGATTCCATAACACGCGAGTTTTCCACCGCCTAGCAACACTGTTAAATACAGTGATAATTTTCAGGTTTTGCCCAGCAAAGATCCTTTGGATGAACCTGATTTCAACAATAGACTATATATCAATTATCTTTTCCCAACTGAGCAATCCCTATCCAACATAGATGGAGTTGTACTAAAGATGGAGAATAAAATCAATTTAATTGATAATGAAATCAGCACTGTTGTTAGAGGACAGATTTTTTTTATGTTCTGGTTCCCACGAAAAGGGATATCCTGTAATGTTCAGAGAACATCGTGAGAACCAAAAGAAATGAGGTAGGAATTGGTGTTCTTCTTGAATTTCTGGAGGTTATATGCCTCGCTGTTCGTTGGATGAACGAGTCATTGGAAAGAGATGTTCTGGAGGTCTCCAAGGTGTCCACGAAGGGATGCGAAGCCTCAACTTGACGGGTTAATCTCCGCGGGGACTGCCAAGGGAGCAACAATTGTTGATATTTCAGAAGAGCATCTTCGATGAAAATATCTAATATCTATAAAATAGAGCCAGATCGCCAACTTTTTTACGGTGTTTCAGAGAAGTGAGTGAGTTTGTGAGCGAGGCATCACCCACGAGACGAATCGCCCTTTTTTGGACAGAATCCAACAGTTTCAGGGTATGTAACTGCAAGTGAAGGTGGGAGGCAAGCTTCAGAGGAAGCCCAAAAACTCATCAAACATTATTATTCCTGCATATAACTGATATCAAAGAACGTGCAGAGAAATCTGAAGAAATGGTTAGGGAAATAACAAAATACATCAAACAGTCAGATTGTGATGAGAGAAACTTGTCTCTTGCTATCACAAATCTCAATCACCTGCAGATGCTTGTAGGTGGGGTAGATACTTCGAAATCCCTCACACAAAAACATTTGTATGGAGAAATAGCACTTCCACTACAAGCTATTAGCTATACCAAATTCCACAAGCACAATACAAAAGCATCTATAGCTCCCAAAAATCATTGAAAAAAAAGCAAGCGACTGTAGCCTCTTAGAAAAGTGATGAAACAATTCCTACAAGAAATTAAGGATGTGAAAATAGTATATTGTTTAGCGAGCACAAAATAATAGTTATTTCCCACGAGAATGAAGTGTAATCATAGGAGTGGGTAATTAGCATTGTGTGCGAGTTATACACTATACTAATTCTACAGGGTCTGCAGGGAACAGCCAGGGCAAAGCTCGCTGGCCTTCAGCGGCTGGCATGCCTGGCCATTACAAGGGCGATGTCCTCTACTCCAACGGCTGCGATGGAAAACCTCCTGAACCTAACTCCCCTCCACATTGTCTTGGAGAGGGAAGCCAGGATGGTTTCCTACAGATTCCTGTCATTAGAAAAATAAATTAGAGATGGGCGACTGCTGGACCACTCCAGGATACTGTGTGAAATAAAAAATCACCAAACTCTAGGAATGGTTCCCGACATGTTGGCTAATCAAACACACGTGAAAAAGTCTTTCAAAGT